GGCGTTTTAGGTAACAAAGATTGATTTTGAGTACTTTGGTACCGTTTTTTCTGAAAAGTACCCAAAAATATTTAGAACATTTTCAAAAATTTGGGAAAATTAAYGAATTGTTTAGAAATTAGTGCTTGGTGATGTTTAATTTTTTCAAATTTGGGTTTTTGGGGGCGTTTGAGATAAGAAAGGGCTGTTTGGTACTGTTTTTTTGACAATTTTTAATGAAGAAATGTGAAGATAAAGTGTAAAAAGAGATTAATAAACATTTTATGAATTTTTGGTTTTTGAATTTGTGTTTGAAAAAATGGCCCTTTTTGGGACTTGAGTAACATGGAGAGTATTTTCAAAATTTTAAGAAAATTGAGGAATATTTTCGAAAGTAGAGGTCGTACAGTTTTAATGTTCTCAAATTATGATTTCTGGGGCGTTTTAGGTACCAAAGATTTGATTTTTAGTACTTTGGTACCGTTTTTTCTGAAAAGTACCTAAATGTCTTTTGCTACATTTTCATCAAATAAATGTGAGGATAAAGTATAAGCAGATTTAAAACATTTTTAAAAATTTGGGAAAATTAAGGAATTGTTTAGAAATTAGTGATTGGAGACATTTAATTCATTTTAGATAAGAAAGAGCTGTTGGTACTTTTTTGACAATTTTTAATAAAGAAATGTGAAGATAAGGTGTGAAAACATTAATAAACAGATTTTTGGATTTGTGTTTGAAAAAATGGCTCTTTTGGGCACTTCAGTAACACTGAGAATGTTCCAAAAATTGGGGAATATTTATTTGAAACTATTTTCAATTTCATCAAATTTCTATTTTTTGGGTCATTTTAGATAAGAAAGAGCAGTTGTTGGTACCGTTTTTTCCGAAAAGTAGCAAAATTTTTGGTGCAAAATTTTTATATATTTTTTTGAATAATAAATGTGGAGAAAAGGCGTAAGAAATCATTTTTAATAAATATTTTGTAAATTATTGATTTTTGGATTTGTTTTTGGAAAATGTTTTTTTTTGGTTACATGGAGAACATTTTCAATAATATGGGAAAATTGAGGAATATTGTGGAAATTAGACATTGTAGAAGTTTAATTTTATCCAGTTTGAATTTTTCGTGTTATTTTAGATAAGAAACAGTGACTTTAAGGGTTTTGGTACCGTTTTTTAAAAAAGTACCCAAATTTTTTATTGCACATTTTTATATTTTTAATAAATAAAAATGAAGATGAAATGTAAAAACACGTTTCTAATAAATATTTTATAATTTTTTAATTAGTTTATGGATATGTATTTTAAAGAAAAAAGATGTAAAAAGACATTTTTTTTCGTTTTGTTACATTTGAAATGACTGAGGTATTTTTATTTCAACACTTTGTACAATGTTGGTACTTTTTTTCGAAAAGTATCAAAAATATGACCTGTTTGTGATACATTTCTGTCAAATCAAACTAAAATAGCAAAAAGTGGGTAATTTTTGGGACCCATATTGGAAATTTGACTCAGAAAAGTGGCCATTTTATGTCTCTAAGTTTAAAAATTCGCTTTTTTTTTGTTTATTTTGATTTTTTTTCAACTTTAATAACTTTTTTTGTCAATAGACATTATTATTAAAACATTTTTTGCACTTTTAGGGAAAATTTATTTATTTTGGGACACGATTTTCAAATAAGCTTCAAATTTTGGTCAAAATTTTGTAAGAAATTTTATGATTTTTATCAAATTCTTCCAATCTTACAAAAGTGATCAATATGCTAGCCAACTGTTACCATCTTGACTACCAGATGGTACAATTCCAGATTTGAAAAACGTCCCATAAATAACCGTTAAATATAATAGCACCAGAAAGGAGCAATTAGGATGGGTGTGCCTCAGGGCTCTCCATTAAAACCCATTTTTTCCTCCCATTCTCATCAACGTTTAATTTGAAAAATGATTTATCATTACTAGAGGAACTGTATTATTATCAAAAAACAATTTGAATAAGTCAAGGGGGCCCCCTTGTGACACACAAAGAAGAAGAGTGAAAGGATTTGTAAATATACAACTTGTCAAAGGAAATAAAACTTTCACAAATTTATCACGAATTAAAACGAAATCGTCGGATTTTCCCCATTTTTTATTCTATTTTTAATAAGCAACTTTCGTGTAATTTCAGGTAATTAAGGTAATTATAGCAGCGGTACAAGGAAAATTACTCAGAAAATGCGATACTTTGGCGAAGCGTCTCTTTTTATCACAATATTTTTGTTGTAAAATTAAAAATTGTGGAGGATTTGGGGGGCACGTATCGGGTTTTTTCCCTATTTTTTAAGACAAAAAAAACATTGTTTTCTTGGTTGTTACAAAAAAATAAAAAAATTGGGGGCTTGAATCGTGTTTTTTTCGTCAAACCTTTGTTATTCTCTAGTTTTTAAGCCAAAATTTGTCATTTTTAGGATTTTTTAGTGAGTTGCCTCTTACCTTTTTTATTTTATTTTTTTGGAAAAGTAATTAATCAGAATCGATTCTACATTAATTGGTTGTTTTTGGCGAAAAAAAAAATTAAAATTTTTTTGGTGGGCTTGAATCGTGTTTTTGTTGTCAAAACTTATTTTTTTTTAGTTTTAAGCCAAAGAAAATTATTTTTTTGTTTTTTGATATTTTTAGGTTTTTTTAGTGAGGTGCCCTCTTGTCCCTCTTTTGATATTATTTTTTTTTTGAAAAAGTAACTAACGGAAATTGTTTCTACATCGATATATTGGTTGTTTTTGGCAGAAAAAAAATTAAAAATTTAAAATTAAAAAAAAATTTTTTTTGCAAATTTTTGAAAAAATTAGGAACAAATTTAGGTTTCTTTGAGGTCTAATATCGATTTTTGGTGATAATTTTGAAACTTTAGAGACACATGTAATTCTGCTGCCAGATTTGGATTCTTAGAATCATTTTATATGAGAGAAAGGCATTGTTCGATTTTATTTCAGTATTTTTCAAAAAAAAAAAATTAAAAATAAATAGTGTTTTTTTGTTGTTTTTCGAAGCAAATTTTTCAAAATTTTGAGTATTTTTTTAGGTTATTGTGAAAATATCACGAAAATTGTAATTGTGTTGCCACATTTGGATTGTTTGTTATCATTTTGGATAAGCAAAGGTCTTGTTTCATTTTTTTGAAGTCGTTTTTAAATCTTGGTACCAAAATTTTGCGAATATGTTCGAATTTTTTGGATTATTTTAAGTAAGAGTTTCAAAACATGACTTATTAAAAAAAATTGTGTATATTTATCAAAAATTGTAACACCAAATGTTTTTTTTAATAAAATTTAAACTTTCTTTTTTTGAAAAATAGTTGACGGAATCAGCATTTTGAATTTTTTTAAT